TAATGTCACTATCCTGAACTGAAAGCAAATTTTGTAGCCACTTAAGGTGTACCCTAACTCATTTGTCTTTGATTGAGCTACAAACAGGGAAAAGCCCTTAGGCAATGTCTCCAAATTTTTTTCTCCCCATGCCTTCCACTTTGAAATTCATTACAAGCAGTGCTCATGAAATCTCATTTGCTGGAACCTTACTGGTTGTAGAAGATGGGAATTAGTGGTGTCAGCTCAGAACCCAGAGTAAAATCTTACATGTGGATGCTCAGTAATGTATGCTGAGTGGGTCACTGGAAGATAGCTTTTTTTTTAAATTCCACAATTAAACACACACATTTATTACTGGTCTCTTCATCAGTTAGTATGTCTTACTAGTGAAATAGTAATAATCCAAGTTTATTGAGGATTTTTTTATATGGCAGACAGTGTTTTAAGTGCTATACAGATGTAATTGTTTTAGTCTTCACAATATTTGTGTAAGGTTTGTCTAACCATCATCATCCCCGTGATAAACAGGATAACCTAAGAACAGACCAGTCACTCAAGATTACACAGCGATCAGAGAAAGACCTGAAATTTGAACCCACACTCTGGGCCACTGTCCATACTGTCTAAAGTGTGCCAGCATACAGTATTTAATAGCACACAAATCTCCTTTTCTCCAGGTGTTCTGAAGGGAAGATTAAGATGAACAAAGAATATAATCTCCTAACAGTTACATAAGAAACGCAAAAGGGATATCATGGTAGTTGGCGTAGGTCTTTGCAGGAATGAACTGTTTTTGTTGTCCCTGCTAAAAACCAGAAGGAATTGTTCATTGGCCTGCTTTCTTTTCTCTCCTCTCAGGGTTAAAGGCACTAGAGACAGACAGGACCCAGAGTTTTGGAATGCATATGCAGGTTCCAAGGCTTGTGCCTGGAGATTCTCACTTGCCCAGAGTCTCCCTTGTGGAGAGGCCAGGACAGCTTCCAATCAATACCCTAATGTAAAGAGCGGAACTTGTGGTTTCATTGAGTTCTGCGAATTTGTTGCTGTTTACATTGGTGAAATTGAAAAGCGAGCATATTAACAGCTGCGCTTGTTGAGTGCAGCAAGTGATACGCATATAATAGCATACAATAAAATACAGCACTCTTGCTGTAGGATGCAATTTAAATATCAGGGCTGCCTTGCAAAGCAGCAAACCTCAATCTCACCAACCTTGTCCTGTCTAGCCCATGCCCCAAAAATGCCAAGGCCTCTGCATTTAACAGCTCTCCAGACATTGTAATACCAACCTGTTATGGAGACATAGCTCAGTTTTCCAATCTGGTTTCTGTCAGATATAAAGCCAAAAACCAGTTTTTTCCAGGTAAGGCACTTTTTGTTGTTGTTAAGTGATAGAGAAATACAAAGTGATGCACTGATTACTAAATTCATGCTGCTACCGATTGGAAATCATCCTGCCTTCCACAATATCCTGGCTAAAACTGTTATAAAATTGTATAAGAAAGGGAATAGAATGTAGGGTGGTGAGAAGAAAAACTACTAGCAGCTCAAAGGAGATGGAAGGTAAACAGACTTTTTGAGTATCTGAAACTTGTGAGGCAATATGTTGGTATTTTTCTTTTATTTAAACTCATTGAGATTTGTTGCTTTGTAATACTTTATAAATTTCTAAAATTTTACTAATTTATTTTTTTCAAGTTATTATTCAGTTATTTGAATTAGATTTGAACTCTTAATAATGCCTGGCATGGTTGAGAACTATTATTTTTCTTTATATTGAATTAGTCTCAGACCTGCCTGATCGTAAGGATCACCTGGGTCTGTGTTAAAAGTAAAGATTTCCAGAACTGGACCCAAAGGTGCTACTTCCGGTGTGGAGTCCAGAATTCTGTATTTTTCAAAGTTTTATTTTGAAATTAAGTATTTAAAAATTAATATTCAAATGTATTTCTTCACTGAGATTCAGCAATTGTTAAAAGTTTGCCACTATAGGTAGATAGATGATAGGTGGACAGATAGATATGTATAATCATTTGGCCTCTTTTCACGAAGGCATTTAATAATCTGTTGTAATTAGTTTCTCTGCGGTGCCTTGATAGTTTGCAATTCCCAGACTTAACATAGAAAATAACAGCAGACCATTAGTTAGAAGGTCACACTCAATGTATAACTGTCAAATGGTTCTTGTTTATTGTGAAATAATGCATATATGTAAATATGCATATTAAACATGTACATACCCTTTAAAAACTAATAACAAGACATTGGCCTTGTTCTTATCACTCTAATAGGACTTAACATTGGCAGGAACTTAGAGCTCCTTGTGAGCCACTGCTAAACAGCTGCCCTTCATCACTTCTTTATATTTAACCCTTTTCTGAAATTAGGTGTTTTTAATTCCACAGCATTTTTTAAAAGCTTTCCTCCATATATTTATCAGAAAAAGAAAAAGTGTTTTGTTTAGAATTCCTGCTACTGAATGTTCTTACATGGAATCATACTATATGTATTCTTCAATGCTTTGCTTTTTCTGTCATGTTGTAATTTTGAGATTCATCTCTGTCAATGGGCACAGCTGTAATTTGTTTTCACAACAGTGTACTATTGTATCATGTGAATGTACTAGAATTTATTCAGCCTACCATTGATGGCCATTAGGCAAGTTTTTGTTCCTTTTAATATGAATAGTGTTATCAAGAATATTCTTGTGTATATTCTGTGTACATGTGCAAGAGTCACTTGCAGATACATACCTAGGAGTGTCTAAAGTTCTAGAAAGCTGTAGTCATTTTCCTCAACAACAGGGATTACCATCATTAAGGAATATGACTAACTTCTTAAACTCCTTTGGCTGGCCCAGAATTGGGTCTAACTTTTTGGTATGCTCCACTGTATATATATATTTATATTTATATTATATATGATTATTATATGTTACTATAGTATGTATATTATTTTATATCATATTTTTACATTTGTATTCAAAATATTTTAAATATGAAATATTTTATATTTAAATATATAAATATATTTTATGTCATATTTTACATTTATATTTTAATATTTATTTTTAAATTATTTTATATCTAAAATGTTTATATTTTAAATATAAATGTAAAAATATACAAAATAATATATAATGTATATTTAAATATAAATGTAAAAATGTCTTTATACCTATATTATATATTATTTATACATAGAAATATATTTACATTTATATTTTAGATATAATTTAAAATAGAAATGTAAAAGCAATATTTATTGAATATATATTGAAAATATTTTTACATATTAAATAAAAATACACATATTTTTAAAATAAATATTATATATATGTATATTTTTGAAACTTCGAGACACATAAGGCACTGTACAACAAACGCCAGGTCCAGACGTGAGTGGAGATGGTCCAAGACTGGTTGAACTTTAGCCCATATTGGCAAGACAATCATTTCAGCTGGGAATCTGCACACTGACTCATACCATGGCAATTTTCATTGAGCAGCTCAGTGCCCGTTTGATGACTCAGTCATGGTGTTCTAATGCTTCTTTGATCTACTGTAACTTGATACTTTTTTACTCCATGTGGACAACACTAATGACTGCATTCTTATAAACATCATCATGTATTGAAAAGTATATAGGCTTAGGATTTAGAAGTACTTGCCTTTAGCAGGGCTGGCTATTTACACATTAGAGAATTGTTATATATGAAAAGCATTGGGCCCTTTGCCTAACACTTGATAAGCATTCAGTAAATTATAGCCTTTGTTGATGTTCTTCTTGTTATTTGTCATTACTCAGGAAGAAATTCAAATATATTGAAATTCCCTTTTCTAATAATAGCCTTTTTTTTGCTTGATTAAATTCAGAAAATTTTACCTTCAGCCTCATTCCTTGTTTCAAATCTCATCTCAATTTCTAGTCTCCATCTCTGAGTTATTCTCATAATGTTTCCATGCATATTTTTAATTTAAATGTTTATCTTGTCTTCTTCTGGCCTCTTCTTAAACATCACATGCTCCAGTCTAAACTTTCAATTCTTACCCTCCTCCATCCCCATTATTCCCCCACTGTCCTCCTCTCGAATTGTGTTAATAGCATCACCATCAACTCAGTTACCTTGGGCTAAAACTCAGAACCCTCTTCCATTCCTCTCTTTACCTTAGTCCATAGGCAACTCCTGGAGGCCCTGCTTCCAAACCGTGTCATGTCTCTTATCACTCTCCAAAGTGTCACCTCCCTGTCTAAGCTGTCGTCACTCTCAACTGGATTGCTGTTGTCATGCCTCACTGCTCCCTGCTTCTACTCTTGCTCTAACTGTATGGTGTCAGATTTGATCATTCCATTGACAGAATTCTCTAGTCTTCCCAGTTCCAAATACCAGAAATGCCAAACACCTTGCCATGGCCTTCTGATGAGATGAGAACTTTCTGTCTCCATGTCTTACCTCAGTTCCCTTCACTCACTGTGGCCCAGTCACTCCTAACCACTTCCCTTTTTCTCCCTTGAATATCTCAAGCTCACTGCCACTCTGACCCTTTGCACTAATTTTCTATCTTCCTAGAACTCTCTTCCCACAATTGTGGTGTGATGTTTATTTTTCATAGTTCAAACAGCTCAAAGGCCACTTCCTGAGACAGGCCTTCCCTGGCTCTCCCAGAACTAGTCATCCATGTTTCTCTTACGACCGTCATATTGTTTTCCTCATAACTGTAGTATCTAAACTTAGTCTGTTGACACGTTTTTTAAATCTTGTCCTACTACAATATAAACTGCCGCACAGTGGGCAGCAGAGTGTCTGTGTGCTTTATGTTTAGGGTACTCTCAGCATCTATAATAATGCCTCATACATAATAGGTACTCATTAAATATTTGTTGAATTAATGAAGGGATGAATGTAAGGTAACTGGAGGCTAAAGAAAATTACAGAAATCCTTACCTGTGTCACTGAATAGTAATACTATTTATTATGCATATATTTTAAAGGCATTAACTTTTTTTTTATTTTTCAGATTAATTGGAATTCTACAAAATGTCAGGTAAGTTTTTGTGAATAAATTTAAATACACTTTATTTTCAAACAGAATTATGTGATTGTTTTCCTTAAAGGGGGACTTTATTTTGTTTTGAATTTTTTTTAACATTGGAGAATGTGTATGTGTGTGTGTATATAGATGCATATATATATTTATTTATGCATACAGACATTCCTATCATTGTCAAAAAGGATTAAAAAGGGTCTTACAGTGGGGCACACATATCTACTGAATAATCTTTGAAGTTTGTGGGGAAAATTAGATAATTAAAAAGCAAGAGTAGGAAAGCAATTCTGCAAAGAGAGCCTGTGGCAACATCCTGTCTTGGTAGAGGAGAATGAAAGTAAGCCTTGTATCTTCTAGTAACTTACATAAAGAGAGAAGAACCACATTTATGGGATTTTTGTTTGCTAGGAGATAAAAGTCAACCAGTTGTTTACGAAATTCAGAACTTATTTTGTAGTAAGCCCAGAGAGAAATTTCTCTAATCTCAATAAGAAGACAAGGTGCGACATTGTGAAAATGACTTTACTACTTCCCTTGCAGCCACTACTGTGACCTAGATTGCTTTTAAAAAGAATACAGTGAAAATGTGAGTCACTGGAGATGTAGACTAAACTATGACTAATTGAGTTGTGTGCGACACCACTGTTTATTAAGCCATTATGTGTTTATGGTGTTATGTTTTGAATTTTTTAAGACAGCACTTTCAAAAAGAATTAGGAAAAAAATCAACTTCACTCTATAAATGCCTGTGTTCTCTGTATTAGGTAATGGGAAAAATAACTTTTGCTATTATGCAGGGAATCTACTTTGTAGGTAAGAGCATTGGAGCAGTTGAACCACTAGTATAAAAGCTCTGCGTTGATCACAAGCATAATATAATTGTCAGTTCTATTTTTAAATCTATAGTCAGTTTGAAAATTCATAAAATTTATTAATAGGTAGTATCTATTATATGATGAATTCTTTTTATTAGAAATCTTACAAGTACATTTCCAGTTGATTATATTGCTTGATGCATACCAATAAGAAAAAACTGGATACATTTTGTCATCATATTATTGTTTTCTTTGTAAGTCATGCCCCTTCTCTTTCCCTGAAGGTGTCGTACCCACAGCCCCTGAACAGCCTGCAGGTGAAATGGAAAATCAAACAAAACCACCAGATCCAAGGCCTGATGCCCCTCCTGAATACAGTTCTCATTTTGCACCAGGTAGGTTAAATATTCATAAAGAATATTCTCCCTTCCTAAAAGGCATGCTAATAAATAAATTGCTTTTTTAAGTTAACAAATTAACTGATTGATATTAATAAGTGAATAAATATTGGATGCTGATAGGCTGCCATGTAGTTTACTATATGTCATTTGGAATCTCTTGAACCCGGGAGGTGGAGGTTGCAGTGAGCCGAGATCATGCCACTGCACTTCAGCCTGGCAACAGAGTGAGACTCCATCTCAAAAAATAATTGTATATATGTGTGTGTGTGTGTGTGTAGATATGTGTGTATATATATAGATATATATTCCTGTAGCCATAGGATTTACAGGCTTTTGGAAGGAAGTTGTGCAAATATTGGGTGACATTCTCTCCATTCTATATGGAGATATGAAGAGAACGTTGTAAGGACACAGAAGACAGTATCTGGCTTTGCCAGGGATTTGAGGAAAGCCCTGACTAAGGCGATCAAGTTTTGCTGTCATGATAAAAATTTCACAAGCAAAGAGCAGGGGGAAAGGACTATGCTTAGCAGGAAGAATCATATGTGCAAAGTAGTACATGGTCATGAAAATCTGGTATGAGGCATGCATGAGACACACGGCAGATGTGCATAGAAACGGCATTGAATGGCCATGGGTGCTGGTAAAGGAGCTGATCTTTCTGGCAAATATTTTTAAGTGTGAATGCACTACTGGTGATATCTCGGGAGAATGACTACTTATACAGTGCTAGTGTAAATTTGAGATACTATGATCCTTAGAAAGTAATTTGGCCAAGTCTCAAATTTTAAAAATTAAATGCCCTTACTTTGGAATAGTTTCAGTTAGTATTTAAATACATTTTAATGACTTATGTAATGATGTATATACTGTAGTAATATTTCTTTAAAATATATATTTAAGTGTATATTTAGAAGTAGAAACCATTGTGTTATGTTCTGAAAGGGGGAAAAAAAAAACCTTGATATGTACAAGATAATGGCAAAGGTTTTTGTTTGTTTATTTGCTTTGTTTGTTTTTTTGGCTCTAGGCATATGATCCATGCACCTCAGGTAGCTTCTGCCCCTGCAGGGTTTTCTGAAAGCATCAGGATTTCCTTTTTTCTCTTTTCCTCGTGTGTATGTGTGTTATGAGGATAAAGTCCATTGTAATAAATACTGCATTAATAGCTCAACCTTTCCTAAGTCCAAGGTATTAGAAATTAAATTATTAAATTATAATCATGCTTTATCTGACAGTTTCCCTATATGTCACTTCAGTGACATTAAACATGATATACAGGATCTATCTTATATTTAACGATTACTCTAAATCCAAAAACGTGGACTCTACTAGTATAGAAACTTCACCATTTCTGAGAAAAACCTTGGTTATACATCATGTTCTCATCTGATAAAACATATGTCTGTTCTTCTATATCAATAATTCAGCAAAAGAGTAGGCTACATCCTTCAAATTAAATGACAAGGTAATTTGTAAAAATATTATAGTGCAGACCACACAACTAATGAATTTTGTTATAAAACATAGCAAAATTTAGCTCTGACCGCCACCTAGTGGCTGGACTGTAAACTTATGAAGACTGACAAAAATTGTCACTGAGTCACATTAAGAATCTTGAAATCTGTACTTGAAATGTGTAGTGTTAATGAATTCATCCAAATTTCTTTACATAATTTAAATTTACATTATAGTGTTGTATATGTGTTCTCACCAAAAATAATTTTATTCTTGTTTAAGAGAATCGTTAATAAAGAAACCTTTGTTATATTTAGTCTTTTTAAGGAGAAAATGGAATGATTTCCTGATGTTCAAAATAACTAAGAAAACTCAAATCCTATTAGGTAGTATTTCTTGCACCAGTATTGGTAGGACAGTTCCATAAACGAGGTCTTTATTTACGTAAGTTTCAGATAATATAGTTACACAAAGTTAAACATGTTTTGTTTTGTTTTTCTGCAGAAGCACTCAGAACTCTTATGAAAACATCAAAAAGCATAATATACTAATTTCCCACACCTAATTTGATCATATTTTTTCCATAGCTTCTTTTATCTCTGGATATTACATACTTATAACAAAAATTGTTCAATTACATAAATATGTATTTAATTTTTAAATAAATATAAATTTAATTTTTGAAAATGTAATCTCTATGTGGATAGCCTCAAAATATATATTTTAATTTTCTTTCTGATTTGTTGGTCTTCAAGTTTTATAGTAGAAGGTACTTTTTTATTAAAAGCACATGGTAGATTAATCATTAACTCATTGAAGTGATATGATTAATATCCTTAAGATAATTTCTATGATTTTTAGTTGTGTTGTTATCTATAATAATAGTTGAAAAAGAGGGTATGGATATCTGATTTCTAGTCTAATTTGAGTACTCTTTTTTTTTTTTGAGATGGAGTTTCGCTCTTGTTACCCAGGCTGGAGTGCAATGGCGCGATCTCGGCTCACCGCAACCTCTGCCTCCTGGGTTCAGGCAATTCTCCTGCCTCAGCCTCCTGAGTAGCTAGGATTACAGGCACGCGCCACCATGCCCAGCTAATTTTTTGTATTTTTAGTAGAGACGGGGTTTCACCATGTTGACCAAGATGGTCTCGATCTCTTGACCTCATGATCCACCCGCCTTGGCCTCCCAAAGGGCTGGGATTACAGGCGTGATCCACCGCGCTTTGCCTTGAGTACTCTTAAACACAATTCTTAAAAAAATTAAAGTATGTTCTTCATGACAAACTTAATACACACTTTCCTTCACTTTTTCCCAAATACATTATACTTTTTTCCTCACTTAACTCTAATGTGGCATTGCTTCCTGTTACCATTATTTTTCCTTTAGTCTGCTTCTCTCAGTTTCTGTTAAAAACTCTGTGTCCCTACCCTTAAAAACTGCTGTTTCCAGAATTCTTTGGTCTGCTCCCTTGTTTCTCCCTGCCCTTCCCCATCTCCTTCTCCCTTCTCTCCCAGTCACCCTTCCTTTTACATACTCTCCTATGTTATTATTTATTTTATTTTGAGATACAGTCTTGCTTTGTTGCCAGGCTGGAGTACAGTGGCACAATCTCAGCTCACTGCAGTCTCTGCCTCATAGGTTCAAGCAGTTGCCCACCTCAACCTCCCAAGTAGCCAGGACTACAGGCATGCACCACCATGCCTGGCTAATTTTTTGTATTTTAGTAGAGATGGGTTTCACCAGTTGGCCAGGATGGTCTCGATCTCCTGACCTCGTGATCTGCCCACCTTGTTCTGGGAATACAGGCGTGAGCCACCACGCCCAACCTCCTAAGTGATCTTGTTAATACTGAAGATTTCCTTTTCTTTCATCACTTATAAACTACATAGCCACAGATCATGTCATCCTGCTAGTCTCTAAACTTGCAATTCCAGCCTCCTATAGACTGCTTCTTGTGAAAAACCATTGACTCTCAAACTAAATGATCACCAGCCCAACTTTGTTATCTTGCTTCTAAACTCTATTTTTTCCACTCTATTCTTCTCCTATATTAGAGGCCTATAGGATCCCAAGCCAGAAACTTGAGAATCTTTTCTCATATCCCATCCACTTCCAAGTCAATGCTGTATCTTAAATGTCAATTACCATTTCTCTACTCTGCTCCTTTTACCAAAATCACCCTTCTATCTAGACCCTTGCAAGGACTTCCTGCCTAATGTGACCTCATATATAAAGAATTCTAAATGTAAAATGAATCCCTTTACTTTCCACTTGATTGGCATGAAGTTAAAGGTCTTTCATAATCTTCACTCCATCCTCTCTTTCTAGCCTTCTCTGCTAAATCTCCACTCACAGCCGTTCGTCCTGCAGTAGTGAGCCTCCTCTGTGCACCTGCTTGTTCTTATTTGTTTGCCTGTAAAACCTTTCCCCATCATGGAGATGCTGGCTAGGTCTAGTGCGTTAGCACTTATATCACAGTATACCTTCTCTGCATAGGTTAGGTACCCCTCCTATCTAATCCCTTTATGTACTATGCGTCTACCTATGATTATGCCAGTCACTTGCTTCAAGACAACCATTCACCTTTTCTTATACATCTTTGTAGCTTCCACAGAACTTGCTGCCATAGGCATGTGTTTGTGTGTCTTTCTGACTTATGTTTCTAGCAGCAAGCACAGAAGCTGATCCTTGAAATGGGCTTGAGGAATATTTCACAGATAAAGGAATCTTTGATTTATCTCATGGTTTTGTTTTCATATAATATTAGGAGAATTTCACAGTTCATTACTATTATGAGTGGCATTCTTATGAGTAACTAAAATGTCTTAGACTTTACCAGCTTCAAAGGCCACTCCTTCCTCTAATGTTCATATCACGGGAATCTGAGCCTCTGTTCAGTTTCCCTTACAGAAAACGCCATCTTTGCACTGTTTTTCATCCCAAAGAACTTCTGGAACTCTCAGGGAGTGTTCCTTCCTGATGGTGACTGGCTTTCACAGTATTGGTTGACCTCAGACTACTGCATTGTCCCATAATGTCCCATGGAGGTGAAGGGGTAGAACTTAAGGACTTAAAAATAGCTGCTAGCTAGAGATGCCCTTCCAGCCTTCCAGTATCTAGGCCCAAAGCCCTCTATAGAATCACCTCTGGGGTACTCTGTGTCCTTGCCTCTGGTCAAGGGGGAATATTAACATAATGTACTGAAGGGTGTTTCTGCAGTCAGAATGCTGAAATTCTAATTCTGGTCCTGGCACATCAGCTAATGACCTTCATCAAGTTGCTTAACCCTCCCTATGACTCAGTTTTCTCCTTGGTAAATTGGGATAATAATAGTATCTACTATATAGAGTTGATGTAAAAATTACAAGATTTTCTTCTTGTAAAGTTGTTAGAGCAAGGCCTGGAATATGAAAAGAGCTCAGTAAGTGTTATTATCTTTTTTTTTTTTTTTTTGCACAGTCAAATAGCTTTCTCTAAAAGGATTTTCTTCCAGATCTAGGTGGTATCCAGGACCCAGTTCTTTGGTGACTGTGATAGAGACCATAATCTCCACCTTATCACATTTAAGTGAATTTTTCATTCTGCAAGAGTGACCTTTTCAAAGATCCCTGCCTATGGTACTATCTACACTTTTTTTTTTTTTTTGAGACAGAGTGTTTCTCTGTTGTTCAGGCTAGAGTGCAATGGTGCGATCTCGGCTCACTGTAACCTCCACTCCCGGGTTCTAAACAATTCGCCTGCATCAGCCTTTAGAGTAGCTGGGATTACAGACGCGTGCCACCACACCTGGCTAATTTTGTATTTTCAGTAGAGATGGGGTTTCATCATGTTGGCCAGGCTGATCTAGAACTCCTGACCTCAGGTGATCCACCCACCTTGGCCTCCCAAAATACTGGAATTACAGGCGTGAGCCACAGCTCTCGGCCCGACTGTCTGCATTTTTCAGAAGATGTCAGTCTCTTCCCTACAAAGCTGTGTGGCATTGCTCTTTGATTACAAAAGACAGAAGATTCGCTAGTCCTATAGACTTATAGTTCCGAAACTGAGTTTACTTAGGGAAACATAACACCATTTGTGGAGCTTTAACAGCACCACCAAAATTGGGCTTCTACTAGTCTAGTCTTGTTCCTTTTGGTATACTTATCTGAACATGAGTTGACTCTCAGCTCCTAACATCTTTCAACTGTCATCTGGACTAAAATCCAATAACTTTTTAGCATATACCCAAAGAAACACATATACATGCATTATGAGGAAAAGCAGTAATTTTCAGAAAGAAACTACAGTTTAACCTATATTTAGGGAAGAATATTTTTTTCTTCAAGGAGGAACTCTACAGAGAAAATGCTCCAACCATAGTAAAAACAAGCACTTTTATGATTATACATTGCAGTGTTGCAACACTGTATCCATCTTTTTCATTTCAGAATAGAGTAACAATTGTTATTTTTAAATGGATGTCATGTGATCTATTTCATTTCATGTAAAAAGTTATGCTAATTTGTAGTGTTAATAATGTAAAACACTTTGATTGCTTTTAAACACAGGACCCCCTGGAACAGCTGTCCCTCCACACACAGGCTACCCAGGAGGCTTGCCTATGGCATACTACAGTCCACAGCAACCCGGGACCTTCCCTTCATACCAGCCAATTGGTGGTACCCATCCTGTTCGTTATCAGCCTGGAAACTATCCTGTGCCAAATCAGCCTGTTCCAGTAACATGGATGCCAGGGCCAACTCCTATGGCTCACTGCCCTCCTGGTCTGGAATACTTAGTTCAGGTACTCCATGAAAATACAAATTATTTTCTTATAAAATATGACCATAGGGATACAACAAAAAGAGAAGAAAAGCAGACCAGTGTGAATAAGGAGATGGGTCACTGATGACAGATTCCATTTGTGAGACTATAAGAACACTGATACCAGTTTCAGAAATGTGAAGGGGAAGCAGCAAGTACAAGGATGTTTATAGTGGGTTGAGTATGTTTTTCATAAGGATTTATGTTGAGCTTTAAGGCACTCAAGATGTTTCCTTGAAAGAAATTTACAGATAGGAATAGAAAAAGCTATAATAATAGAGGATAGTTGTGTTATTGCTTAGAAGTAAAGAGTTAACATCAAAAAAAGCAGCACAAAAGAGAACAAAACACAACACAGTGTGTAAGTTACTGAGTGCCTTCGCCTGTTGCTTTTTACCACTACCCATCATTTTCATTAGCTACTCTAGCCACCCCCAAAAACATACAATGTAAATAAAAATAAGGGACCCTGCCGAGACTATGGCTTCAGTTTAAGTTCCAGAAACCCCCTTATTACAACACAATTATTCCCTAAATAACATCTATATAGATATTATGCAGCCACCAGGACATCATGATCAAAAACTAGGGTAATATGTGAAATTTGTGCACAAATAGTTTTGTTTGAAAACTCATGTCTGAAACTCAAAAACCTATGTAATGAGAATAAGATAAAGCTAGCAGAATAGTCACGTTTTATTGTGGCCTTGATCCCTATGGTTTCAGTTACCCATGGTCAACGAGGGTCCAAAGAAATTCAGTGGAAAATTCCAGAAATAAAACATTCATAAACTTTAAATTTATTCTGAGTAGCATGATGAAGATTTTCACAGTCCTGCTCTGTTCTGCCTGGGACATTTATCATTTCTTTGCCCAGTGTATCCACGCTGTACATGTTACTGATAGTATGCAGACCCAGAGTCACATAGTAGCCATCTTGGCTATCAGAGTGACTCTTACAGTATCACAGTGCTTGCATTGAAGTAACTCTTATTTTACTTAATTATGTCTCCAAAGCACAAGAGTAGTCATGCTGGCAATTTGGATATGTCAAGGAAAGACCAAAAAGTGGCCATAAGGCCTTCCTTTTCATGAAAAGGTCAAGGTTTTTGACTTAATAGTAATAAATAAATTCCTATGCTAAGATTACTAAGATCTACAGTAAAATTAATCTTCTCTCCATAAAATTGTAAAGAAAGAAAGAAAGAAAAATATGCACATAGTATATGTAGGATTTGGTACAATCTGTGCTTTCAGGTATCCACTGGGGGCTTGAAAAGTATTCCTTGAGGATAAGAAGGACACTACTTTATTGTACATACCATAGAACCTTCTGAATCTGAATCTTTTTTTTTGTTTTGTTTTTAGAAAAAGGAAGTGTTGAAATTCAGTATAAAGAAGAAACTACCCAATTCAATACTTATCTCCCCAGGTCGACAGCCAAGTATTTCCTGGATTTATATTGTTTCTCTTTTCAATTCTGTATATTGACAGGGACCCTGATAATCTTGTGTGCTGAAAAGTATTTGTATAATATTGTTTGGTGCATAAAAGTCAATACAGTTGGATCAGGAAAATGTGGATCTTATCAAAGCCAAAATTCATCCTAAATTATTATTTGGACAAAATATTGACAAAATGCAAAGCAGGTGAAGTGCTAGAGTAAACATCTACATTATTTCAGAAGATGATAAAATGTTTGTAGCTTATCAAGTTTAGAAAAATCTCATTTCTATACTTGGTGATAAATACAGAAGTTGTTCTTCGGAATCTAACAACCTCCTACAGTCAATTCTCTTTTCAAATTGTATAGCTTTCTTTATTTAAATATTAAAAACCTGTTCTCAATTTCTTTTATGATGCTGACAGAGGTTAATTTGACATATTTTACGAATTTTCCCTTTTAGGAATGTTTAGAGTTAAAGAAATAAGTGAAAAAATAAACAAAACACAGCTTTGGACCCAGACAAACCTGCTGTTTAATTCTATCTTACTCTCTAGTAACTCTAAAACCTTGACAAATTTTTCTAACCTCTTGGTGCTTGAATTTTGTCATCTGTAAAATAGTACTGTCACTGCTTACCTTATCAGGTTGTTAGGAGAACTTTTAATGAGATAAGGCTCACAATATGCCTAATATATATATATATATATTTTTTTTTGAGACGGAGTTTCGCTATTGTTACCCAGGCTGGAGTGCAATGGCGCGATCTCGGCTCACCGCAACCTCTGCCCCCTGGGTTCAGGCAATTCTCCTGCCTCAGCCTCCTGAGTAGCTGGGATTACAGGCACGCGCCACAGTGCCCAGCTAATTTTTTGTAATTTTTAGTAGAGACAGGGTTTCACCATGTTGACCAGGATGGTCGAGACGGGGTTTCACCATGTTGACCAGGATGGTCTCGATCTGTTGACCTCGTGATCCACCTGCCTCGGCCTCCCAAAGTGCTGGGATTACAGGCTTGAGCCACCGCGCCTGGCCACCTAATATTTTTGACATATAGGGCTGTCCCAGTGGATAAAAGCTATGTGGTGTTATTAGCTTAAATGCCTTCTTATGTGTGAATGCAAGGCATAGAGCTAATCTTTTTCCTCTATCTACCCTAGTCTTTTTGAGATCTCACATGAAGATTACATGAATCTTCATCAAGATTACCAAAGTAGGCCAGGCGAAGGCATGGTGGCTGACACCTGTAATCTCAGGACTTTGGGAGGCCAAGGCAGGTGGATCATGAGGTCAGGAGATCGAGACCATCCTAGCTAACACAGTGAAACCCAGTCTCTACTAAAAATACAAAAATTAGCTGGGCGTGGTGGTACATGCCTGTAGTTCCAACTACTTCGGAGGCTGAGGCAGGCGAATTGCTTGAACCCGGGAGGTAGAGGTTGCAGTGAGCCGAGATTGCACCACTGCACTCCAGCCTGGGTGACAGAGAGACTCCAACTCAAAAACAAACAAACAAACAAACAAACAAACAAACAAACAAACAAACAAACAAGATTACCAAGAGTCCTAAAACATCCAGATTAGTGCAATTATATTATTTCCAGAGTCTTGGCTGTGCCAATGACTTTACCAATTTGTCAAATAACTGCCCCTTAACAGACGTATATTACTGAGTTCCAGGGAGGACACAATAATATTGAAATTAGGCCAGTTAATAACCCTGTGATGGCCTCTGAGTGTTCAAGTGAGAGAAACAATTGCATATCTCTCATTGTAAATTTAAAAAGCTGGAAATGATTTCGCTTAATGAGGAAGGCATGTTGAAAGTTGAGACAGGCCAAAAGCTAGTCTTCTTGCACCAGTCAGCCAAGCTGTGAATGCAAGGAAAAGTTCATGAAGGACATTGAAAGTGATATTACTCTAACAAACATATGAATGGGAAAAAGTAAGATCGCTTACTTGCTGATATGGAGAAAGCTTTAGTGGTCTAGGTAGAAGATTATTTAAATCAGTCACAACATTTCCTTAAGCCAAGGCATAATTCAGAGCAAAGCCCTCTCTCTCTTAAATTCTATGAAGACTGAGAGGTGCGGAAACTACAGAAAAAATAGTTTGCAGCTAGCAGAGGTTGGCTCACAAGATTTGAGGGAAAAAAGGCACTTTTGTAACATAAAAATGCGAGGTGAAGCAGCAAGTCCTGATATAGAAGCTGCAGTAAGTTTTTCAGAAGATCTAGCTATAATAAGACCATTGATGAAGGTTACTATATTAAACAACAGGTATTTAATATAGATGAAACAGCCTTCTGTTGGAGGAAGATGACATCTAGGACTTTCTTAGCTAAAAAGGAGAAGTCAATGCCTGCTGTCAAAACGTCAAAGGACAGACTAACTCCCTTGTTAGGGTCTCTTGCAAAACATTGCTACTCACTGACAACGCATCTGGTCTCTCAAGCTCTGATGAAGATGCACGAGGAGATTAATGTTGTTTTAATGTCTGCTAACACAACATCTGTTCTGCAGCCCATGGGTCAAAATGTAATTTTGATTCACAAGTCTTATTGTTCAGAAAATGAATTTTGTTAGGCTATAGTTTCCATAGATAGAGTGATTTCTCAGATGGATCTGGGCAAAGTAAATTGAAAACCATGTGGAAAGGATTCACCATTCTAGATGCCATTCAATAAGGACATGCATGATTCATGGAAAGTGGTCAAAATGTCAACATTAACAGGTATTTGGGAGAAGTTGGTTGCAGCTTTTGTGGGTGTTTCAAGGGTTCAAGATTTCAGTGGAGGAAGTAATTTCAGATATGATGGAAACAAGAGAACAATAATTCGAAGTGGAACCTGCAGATGTGACTGAATTGCTGCAACTCATGATAAAACTTTAACACATGAGCAGTTGCTTTTTATGGATAAGCAAAGCAAGTGCTTCCTTGAGATGGAATTTACTCCTAGTGAGAATACTGTGAACATTGTTGAAATGACAAAGGGTTTAGAATACTACATAAACATAGTTGATAAAGCAGTGGCAGGTTTTAGGAGGACTGACTCCAATTTTGAAAGAAGTTTTAATGTAGTAAAATATTATTAAAGAACATTGTGTGCTACAGGGAAATCTTTCATGCAGAGAAGAGTCAGTCAATTCATATGTCAGACTTCATCTGTTAAGAACGAGTTAGCAGTCATTAACATAGAGACAAGACCCTTCACCACCAAGAGAATTATGACTAGCTGAAATCTCAGATGATTGTTAGCAGTTTTTATACAGTTTTTAAAAATTAAGATATGTACTTGTTTGCACTTAATACTCTTACACACTTTGTATAGTATAGTTAGTGTAAACATAATTTTATGTTCAGTAAGAAAATAAAACATTCATGTGACTCACTTTCTTACAATATTTGCTTTATTGCATTGGTCTGGAACCTGACTTGTATTATTTCCAGAGTATGCCAGTAGTTAATATTTTTACTTTTCACTTCTAGAGTTTAATGCCCTAGATTTCTAAAATGGACTACAAACCGTTTTAGTGGACACTTTGGGTATTTTATGAGGCATGGTTAGGTCTCCTTATGTAATTGTGTTTTTATACAAGAAAAGGTTCTTAACTGAGCATTGATTATGCCCTTTGTACCCTCCTGTAATTAATCACACCATAAAACATTCATGTTTAGTTACTTTAATTTCATGTTATTACTGCATTTGTATATTTTTCATTAATTAATGTATTTAACTAATGTTTTGTAAAATGTGGCACTTCAAGCAGTGTTCTGGAGCTAGGGAATAGGAATTATCTAATGGCCTAAATGAGGTAAAATGATACACATATGATCAGTGTGTCCTCAAGATTTCTTATCTTCTGCTAGAATGTTCTCACATGTAACAGATAATGTGCCCATCAAACTGCTCATCTTTAGAATGATTTCTAAGATGCAAATCTCTCAAATGGTATACCCAGCCATCCTTTTCATGCATTGCCATATAGGAATGATTCCTCCCTCTTCCGCTAATCCTATTCACATGCTTCCTGCCAGTATAGACCCTTCCCTTATTAAAGTGTGCACTTGGGGAAGACCCTAGCATTTGTAGATCAAGTGAATGTGAGTGAGTGTGTAAACCTCTGCTAGAGGTACCTGTAAAATAATATTAAATGGGATACTCCATGTGAGGCTCACCCTGGCTTGTTTGTTCTTTGTAAGCCACTGAGAGACTTCCTTCTCTATGGCTGGTCCATGTTAATCGTTCTGAACTTCCTAAACAACTCCATGCTATGAATGACATGTAAAGAGACCAGTGAGTAGGAACTGATCTAGGAACAATCTATAAACACAGCTTCTTCTGATGTGATTACTATAGCAAGTAGATGATGTCGTTTTCTGATATAGCAGACAACTTTTTAAAAGTGGTATTGAAAAAGTGTTTTTCTAATGTGGACAGCTCCACTAATATCCATCTGATCCGAGGCAGATAAGCTAATTTCAGTTGGTAATTTTTAAAAAATTCTATTGGCTTTAAAAATATATTCTGGTATTAAATGATATATTTTAATATCTATTTCATCAGTTTCTTTTCCAATGGTATTTTAACTCTGTTATTTCTGTCTTCTAATCGCTTTGTTTTATCCCAACAGTTGGACAACATACATGTTCTTCAGCATTTTGAGCCTCTGGAAAGTATGTACAATTTTTGTAGTCCTCAGCAGTATTTTAATCAGATGGAAATTTGCATTATCCAGTATCTAGTTCTTTCTTTATATTAATCATTTTTTAATGGTTCAAAGAAAAAAAGCTGCTCTATTAGCCTATCTTCAAGAAAGTAATAAAGTGAATTATTTTGTATAATTTTATCCTTCTATACATCATATACTCATAAACTCTTATATTTGAAAAGGGCTCACATTTTATCTGGTTGATAACATCCACTTTACCCATTGTTCCTACTCCACATTTACCTTTCAAAGATGAGTAAAAAAAGGAGCCAAGAGACTAAATGAGTTAGCCAGGGACACCACAGTCAGCTAATCACTGCCAGAGCTGGAAATAGAATTTAAACCACAGTCAGCTAATCAGTGGCAGAGCTGGAAATAGAATCCAAATCTGCTGAATTGTAGTCCAGTGCCTTGGAAGTAAGCAAGGCCCTCATTACTGGCCCTAGTTAAACCAACTGCACATTCGTTTGGCCACCACATAGGCCTTTGACTTTTCTTGGTTTGTTTCTTGTTTGTAATAAGTGATGATCCTACTCCTCCCAGTATGTTTTATGAACTGATTAATTAATGGTCAAATGTATAATTTCTTTTTAATGGTTTTATAATTTAAGTTTTCTGAATTCAGATACTCCAGGAATCGAAACAACAGGGTTGTTTCATCTTTGCTTCTATGTAGAAAGTTTTTTAAGGTTTACACTGAACTTCTTAAAAGAAATGTTTTACCTGTAATCCCAGCACTTTGGGAGGCCGAGGCGGGTGGATCACGAGGTCAAGAGATCGAGACCATCCTGGTCAACATGGTGAAACCCCGTCTCTACTAAAGATACAAAAAAAGATCAGCTGGGCATGGTGGCGCGTGCCTGTAATCCCAGCTACTCAGGAGGCTGAGGCAGGAGAATTGCCTGAACCCAGGAGGCGGAGGTTGCGGTGAGCCGAGATCGCGCCATTGCACTCCAGCCTGGGTAACAAGAGCGAAACCCCGCCAAAAAAAAAAAAAAAAAAAAAAAAAAAAAAGAAATGTTTTAAATTTTCATAGTTGCTTAAATACTTTTAGATAATATGATTTTTGGGGTACTCTAATCAATTCTACATATTTCACCTGAAACTTTAAGAAAGCTATTTTGCTTTTTTTTTTTTGTCTTTTTTTGTTGTTTTTGTTTTTGTTTTCCTTTTTGTGGAGAACGGGGTCTCGCTATATCGCCCAGGCAGGTCTCGAACTCCTGGGCTCAAGCTATCCTCCCGCCTCTGCCGCCCTAAGAGCTGGGATTACAGGCGTGAGCCTCAGCGCCCGGCGCTATTTTGCTTTAAGCCCTTAAGAAATCCTAAACAAGGACTTTCTGAGGCCCGTTTTAAGTATTTCTAATTAAAGATGACTTTCTCATTTATTTTTTAGTGATGACACGTTTTGAAACTAATAATAGATATGATATTAAAAACAACTCAGACCAGATGGTTTACATTGTAACTGAAGACACAGATGACTTTACCAGGAATGCCTATCGAACACTAAGGCCCTTCGTCCTCCGGGTCACGGATTGTATGGGCCGAGAAATCATGACAATGCAGAGACCCTTCAGATGTACCTGCTGTTGCTTCTGTTGCCCGTCTGCCAGACAAGAGGTCAGAGAATGGAAATCTCATCCACAGTTTGCGTCAGTCCTACTCTTCATGGCACAGTGTGGTCCTTCTAGAACTACACAGGAGGGATTTTCCCTGGCCCTGCGAGCCAGAATGGAAGAAGATAGTGGGGAGGGAGGAAACCATAATGTCTCACCTAAGGAAAATCATAGAGGATCTTTTCTTTTTGGTTACTGCTTTTTAGTGCTTAAATTAAGTGGATCAGGCACAATTGGGGTTGTGTAGTCAATAATTATGATTCCATCAGTTGCGTCTGCTTAATTAGAAATTTACCTACCACAGTTATCTAACTCTACCAACATATCATCAGATAAACTAATGCTAAATATAAACCCATACTTTCAGAATTGGAAGAGACTTAATACCTTTAGGGTAATCATCGTAACCCATACACTGTTACAGATAAAGAGTGGCTCAAAATGACTAAGGACAGGGCTGGAACTGGAATGCAGATGTGCTGAGTTACAGTGTGGTTACTCATTATCTGTGCACTTCTAAGAAAGTTATGTGCTGTAAGGAAAAGAAAAGCAGTTTTAGAGAGAAACCAACCAAAGTTTGAATTCTGTATATGCCACCTACTTAAATCTACAATTTAATTACCTGTTTGAGCCTTAGTGTTGTTCTTCTACATAACTGGGTGGTACAATACATCATCGGATTACTGGAATACTTAAATGCTCTTTTAAATAACATCCTTACTAAATATTTTTTTTTTAATTTTTTATTGGATTTTAGGTTTTGGGGTACATGAGCAGAGCATGCAAGACAGTTGCGTAGGTACACACATGGCAGTGTGCTTTGCTTTCCTTCTCCCCTTCACCCACATTTGGTATTTCTCCCCAAGCTATCCCTCCCCACCTCGCCCTCCCACTGGCCCTCCCCTTTTCCCCCCAATAGACCCCAGTGTTTAGTACTCCCCTTTCTGTGTCCATGTGTTCTCATTTTTCATCACCCTCCTATGAGTGAGAATATGCGGTGCTTCATTTTCTGTTCTTGTGTCAGTTTGCTGACATCCTTACTAAATATTAATGTTTACAACACTCTCTGGGCTTTATTTACCTATAAAATGGAAATATTAATAGTACCTATCAGGTAGGATGATCATTTTAAGGATTAAGTCAATTCCTTGCACATTTCCTAGCAAATAGTATATACTCAATAATATTTTCTGTTGTTCCCATATCTTACTTCTTTGTTATTATTGTCCTTGTGATAACAGCCTTATATCTGAAGTGAGTATCTACTTATTGTCCTTGATCCTTCTGGATATAGTAGGCATTTATCTTCATATTTGTGAATTAGTTTTTTTAAATCAAAACCTAAAAATACAGCCTTCTGAAATTATAGGAAGCCAGAATAAAGTAAACCAAATCAAGTTACAGCTGGACAGGCTGGTGTACACCTGTAATTCCAACATTTTGAGAGGCTGAGGTGGGAGGATCACTTGAGGCTAGGAGGTTGGGCAACATAGCATCTCTACAAAAAAAGAAATTAAAAAAAAATTAGCCAGTCCTGGTGATGTATGTCTGTGGTCTCAGCTACTTGGATGACTAAGGTAGGAGGATCATTTAAACCTAAGGATGTCGTGGCTGCGGTGACCTATGATTGCACCACTGCACTTCAGCCTGGGTGACAGAGCAAGACCCTTACTCCTAAAAAGAATTGCAAGCCTAGTCCAATTTATGACACTTTTGTCTTACAACTTTAGTCAGGTTCTTTTCTTCAGATTTCTCCAGTTTTACTTGTATTAATGTGTGTGTGTGTGTGTGTGTGTGTATACACATTCAGTTTATGCAGTTTTATATTTTGTATAGATTCCTATTTCCATCAGCACAATACAAATACCAAACAGTTCCATCATCACAAAAATCCTTTATTATCACATCTGACTTCCTCCCTCCTCTTTATCCCTAACCCCCAGTAACCACTAATCTGTTCTCTATTTTTACAATCTTGTCATTTCAAGAATGTTATTTAAACAGAATCATATATTATGTAACTTTTCAGGATTGATCTTTTTCACCCATGGTAATTACCTGGAGATTCATACAAGTTTTTACATATATTACTAGTTCATTTTTTTTTTATGGCTCACTAGTATACTATGGTAGGAATTTTTTAAGGAATTTGTTTTTATACATTTTGATTTTTATCTCATGGGCTTAAACTTAGATAGTTCTATAATACTTTAAAATTTATATATTTTTATATAGGTGTGAATGTATGCATATGAACAATAGTACCTTAGTTTAACAATCTATGAAGCTGTGTAGTCCTGTTCCATGTCCTGGGAATCCTTTCCCCAAATTCTTATGAAAGTACATGTAACATCAGAGAAATAGTCAATAGAACTTTCACTTTGGGCTCTTACCAAATAAGTTAATCTTTATGACTCATTATTATTAAATAGGAAGATCTTAATTCTTCACAAAATAATATTGTTGAAGATAAATAGCTAAAAACAGAATAGTGGACAATATTTTAAAACTTAAAAAAAATGGCTTTATAAACCCACACACATTTTGTTTTTTTCACAATATACAATTTTCAAAATGCCTCTCTTCTCTTTTGTTTTCTGTTATCCTTGTTATGTCAGAGATTTGATTTTATCCAACTTCAAATCTAAAAAGTCGGCTTGTTACTGTTTCATAGATTGAATCAGAAGAAATGAGACTCCTAGGAAGGAGACAGAGGACCTTACAGCACAGCAGGCAGCATAAGTGTGTGTAGGTTCCCCTCATCTCCAAGTTCTGACTTGGAGGAGCCTAGGCCAGGCTGTTTGTGCAGCTTACGAACACTAAGCTTGGACAACTGGCCATTATATAACAAGCCATGATGAAGCCTGCTGTTTGTCTCAGAGGGAAACATGATCTCATCCCTTAAAGCTTCTCACTGAAATATAACCCGAAGAATGGCCTGGGTTAAATGGAAGGCTATCACTCCCAACATAATTTCCCTGCTCTTTGAATGAGTAAGGGCACATCTAGGTTATGTACGTGTGTATGTATGCGTGCAGCATCCTAACTTCTGTCACTGTCTTATTTGCAGCTGGAGGTGCAGTGTCCTCCTGGTGTCACCCTTGGCTTTGTTGCAGAACACTGGAACCTGTGCAGGGCAGTGTACAGCATCCAAAATGAGAAGAAAGAAAATGTGATGAGAGTGCGTGGGCCATGCTCAACCTATGGCTGTGGTTCAGATTCTGTGTTTGAGGTAAAACTATTTAAAAATAAGATTTCTGATATTTTTCCTACTCATACCTAACAGGCCATGGAAAGATCTGGTTGTATATGATTTTTTTTTCATGTGAGTGAATAATGTAGTGTGAGGAAAGAGTTAATTAACCAGTTGACATCAAAAGATTTTAAAATTATTGTTAGTGGATTGTTTGAGTTTTCCAAAGTGAGAGCTTTTTTATGATTTTAGTGCTTGATAAAAATAAAAAGAAATCTTTAAAACATTAAATGTTCTGAGAGTAAATAGCTTGACCTAATTCATTTATTCTATTGTTGGCTATATGTAATTAACCTTTTCTTTTTTCCATAGACTTCCAGGCTAGGAATATAGGCTGTAAGTAATGCAAGTGCCCAACATATCACAGAACATATCAAGTACTCCTAGGGCTGTGAAAATAGTTGTTTGCAGAATACAAGTTTGCCAACATCCTCAAGAAATAGGATAATACTAATAACATGGATAAAACTTATAATAGTTATAACAGTTTTTCAATGAAAAGAAAAATTATTTTGTTTTGCCTTTATCTCACTGGCTACAAAATGTTTGTTCATTTACCCTACAAGTCTGACAAAGGAAATTCCTAGAAATATTTCCTAGGCTTCTTAAAGAATATTTTTTGAATGCCTTGCAATTAGGCAAGACTCATCTTCAAAACTTCTTGTTCATATGTTTCCTATAATACTCAAGAAACTTTCCTTAGTTCTTATTTTATATCAGTATATCATTAAGCATTGCTTATTTATTACAAGTCCAATATAGATAAGCCAAATTGCTAGGGCGGTGTGTGTGATCATTCCCATTGCCAAGTGACATTAGATATTAGTATTTGGCTATTTTCCCTGTGGCAAGTGCCAGGTTTCCCCTTTTAGAAACTGAAGTCCTTAGGTATCTAGCCATATATTAAGAAGACAAGGTGGATTTGCTCCGCAAAAACTTAAGTGATGTGAAGTGCACAGCATTTGTTTCCTGGGATTTGCTCATAGGTTTTCCTAGATTGGAAGTGATTCTCTCCCAGTTCCCACCCTTTGCTATATTGAGAAGAATTTCATAATCAGTTCAAATCATACCTCCTCTTAAAAGGTCCCCTAATAACTCATTCAAAGATGAAGAAAGAGCAGTAGCCTGAGAATTTTAAGATAAACCCTGGTCAGTTATTAACCAGTTGCAAGGCACCTAACCCTTTTTGCCGTTGTTTTCTCATTTCAAATTGGATAATTACCATAGTCTTTTTCTGCATTGTGTTTATGCTATCTCAGTGTAAACTGATAAGCAGAACACTAAAACATGTGCTTCAGTGCATTTCCGTCATCATAAAGGCACATTCTTGTCATTCCAGGTCAAATCCCTTGATGGTGTATCCAACATCGGCAGTATTATCCGGAAGTGGAATGGTTTGTTGTCAGCAATGGCAGATGCTGACCATTTTGACATTCACTTCCCATTAGATCTGGATGTGAAGATGAAAGCCATGATTTTTGGAGCTTGCTTTCTCATTGTAAGCATTTTATTTTTGAGTTATCCTGAGAGAATTGTTCTTTCTGTGGAGAAGCAGTATAGTGTAGTAAAAGAATAAGCCCTGAAACTAAGCCAACTCATCTCTGTGCCACTTACTAGTTACATGTTTCATAAAGTGTTTAAGGCCGGGCGCGGTGGCTCATGCCTATAATCCCAGCACTTTGGGAGGCCAAGGCGGGTGAATCACGAGGTCAAGAGATCAAGACCATCCTGGTCAACAAGGTGAAACCCCGTCTCTACTAAAAATACAAAAATTAGCTGGGCATGGTGGTGCGTGCCTGTAGTCCCAGCTACTTGGGAGGCTGAGGCAGGAGAATTGCTTGAATGCAGAAGGTGGAGGTTGCAGTGAGCCGATATCGTGCCATTGCGCTACAGTCCGGGTAACAACAGTGAAACCCCATCTCAAAAAAAAAAAAAAAAAAAAAATTAAGTGTTTAACACTTGTTAGCCTCAGTTTCCTCATCTGTAAAATGGAGATAAACATACATATATTTTTCCAGTTTATGAATATTAGCTATCATGAGTAAAATGACCAGGAGAGTGCTTAGATGACATTGGGTATCCAATGGGTGTAACTGTCATCATTGCATGTTGTCATTCTCACTACTTAAAAATGCCTGGCCTATGATTTCTTAATGAACTAATTCTAAAGTAGGTGTCCTTTCCCTCCTTCCTTTCTGCCTGCCAGTGTATTCCTTGGGGTTGTCCAATCCTTCAATTACGACATTTTTACTCTCTTTTAATGATGAAATTCAGTTACTTGGTACTTAAAATGGAAAACTAACAATTCCAAATTTGTTGCTGCTGCTCTTCACAATAGGTCCTCTTCATAAATATTTCCCTAGATTTATTTATTTTAATTGGAATCGGGGAATCACTTAATAATTACAAAGGATAATCCTACATGCATTATACCTAATTATCTATATGTCTACATACAATTCTTTTTCCAATTTCAGGACTTCATGTATTTTGAAAGATCTCCACCACAACATTCAAGATAGAGAAACACAGCAAGCCATCAACTATGGTTAATTTTGAAAAACTGAAAAGTTGGGTTGGGCTTACGTCAACACTCAACTATTTACAAGTGTATTTCTTTGCTTTGCAGAGTACTTTATTGGGTGTTTACTTTGACAGCTGAGAGTGTGCTTGCAAGAACACAATCTGAAAGTGTGTTTCAATTGAGTATCTCTCTGGTAGAATAGGAGTTCATCCTGAAAAGCTATGACTCATTGACTCAGTAAACATCTATAAAGTAAGCTGAAAACACTATAAACATGAGATAAGGGAAAATGAATCCCAGAGTTCTCATATTAATAGGCAGTGAAATAATAAGGCTTTTTAGAGCAAACGTTGTTGGGATAAAATAACGTTGCTAGGATGGAAATCTCTAACCCTTTCCTACCTTTCCGCTCCACCAACACGTGCTCATACTGAAGACAAACATGTTTCCATGTAAAAAGAATGTTAGTCTTCATTGTTAAAAACAAAAAGGCAGACAAATAATTATGTTTTCTTGTACTTAGAAGGTACTACTTGTACATGTGTATCAAAACCTCATTCTGCAAAATTTTTGAAGGTTTCAGTGGGAAATTTGATTTTATTACAAAATAAAACATGCATTTTTTTTAACGTTAAGGTTTATGTATTCCATGCCTGTTTTCTCATTCACTGGCATGGATGATCAGGAGCTGCCTATATATGAATGCAGAATCAGATTATCAGGAAAGGAGATGACCAGGGCCACGGCCAATCAAGAACGCTGAGCAACTTAGAGACATTGGTGTCATTATATGAAGCTTGTATTTAATACATTTATACATAATATATTTGTACATTTAATTCATAACGATTCTTGGCTACAGATGCCTTATATATAAAATATGTTGCCAAATCTCTAAGATTGCCTGGTACACCTTTGTATCTCATTTGATGTGATACAGAAGAGATCTTTGTTTTTGTTGTTGTTGTTTTTCAAGATCTTTGGTGATCACCATGCTGTTCTAATGGGAAGAATTGGAGTTATGTTTTTAAATTTGGAAGTGTGACATTTTATGTAGCACTTAATGCTTTATAAAATAAAAAGTGAAATCTACAAATGCCAGCACAGCTAATACTGCATTGCTTCTTTTTATTTACATGATAAATAAATATGTATCTACACAGAGTAATGACAAAAATACAGCAAACATTCTATTACTCTGTGATCTACAGCATGCCAGTAAGAAATATGTAAGACCAATAATAACTTATCAATTACACATTTTTGTGTCAACTAATTAAAACATAGTGTATAAGTGAATACACTCTGATTAACTTCCTTCTGTCACACTTTAATTTTCTACCTGCACATGGAATGCATTTATTCAACACAGTCAGTATGTAGAATGGGATGTATTCTTCTTCTGCTCCTTATTAAATAAAGAAAGCCTAAGTGTTCTTAGACGGGGTTATTCTGAGATGAGGGCCTTAACCTACAGTTCGTTTTTCAATGAAAGAGAGGTGCTTCGTTTTTTAAATTATATTTATCTTTTCAGGGTAAAGTTGTTTTGCTGAGTTTCTTGTAATGCTCATTTTTACATGCTGCTACTAGCTTTTTAAAAAAAGTTGCTGCTTTCTAAAATATTAATTGCCTTATATTTGAAAGTGCCATTGCAATCATATATATTTCCTATGATATATATATTTCCTATGACAATGTCTGATATTTAAATAGAAAATCAGACAAACAATATTCAGAAAGTTTAACCATATAAACTTTTTATTTTTAACTTGCCTAAATACCTATATTCCAAGACCTGCTGCATCATAATAAATATGTCTATATATATTTAGCATAAGATGTGATATTTTAAATTTCTTTTTAAAAAATTTATGGTATTTGTGTCTCTTAGAGTTAAAATGTTCTCTTTCTTTATAAAATATTATCAAATGTCATAGTTTTAATACAATTCACATAATTTCTATATTAATGATATTTTATTGTATAAAATTATCAGGGTGATTAAAAAACAAATTATCTGAAATTTGTGCTTTAATGCTTTTTTATATCGTTTGTGGCTTTTAAATAAATACACAATGGTTAATAGTAAAACACTGTTTTATTTTTTAACTTTGACTCTTCAAATACTTTTTTCACAGGGATTCTGAAGAAATTTTTATTGATTATTAGGTTTATTCAAGGCCCTTCTATTCTAATATAAATTTAATACTATTAAAGTCATTTCTGTAGTATTCCTTAGTAGTAATTAGCTTTTTATATGACCAAGTTATTTGTAAAAACTTATTTCTAATCCTCTTAAAATACATTTAAATTTCAAGTATAATTTCAGTGTCAGCATATCATTAAGAAAAGTTGCTAGAATTTGTAACCGTCAGTAAAGGATGCATTTTAAAATATTTTTTCAAAATGACCAGATTGTCCAGAAATTATACAAAAATCAGGTTACAAGCCTTATTTAATAGCCTTGTTTTCTAACCAACTAGATACTAAATTAAATGCAGGCATAGAATAATTAGAGTGATTCTAGAGTATGGTATATTGTTCCTGTTGGAGCAGCTGGCTACTTTTCAGTCTTTTTTTCCCCAGTGTTCAAGGTTGGATTTAATAAATATTGAAAGAAGCAAGCTTGGGAAACCCATACAATGTCTGGATTTAATAAACTAATATCAAATTCAGCTATTTGGCTAGTAATAGCTAATGTTAAAAATGGATCTTTTTCCATAACTTCATAGAATGCACTTTCCATTTTCCTCTAGGCCTCTTAAATTGTAAATCTCAGAGAAAAGCAGAGTGAAATACTCCAAAGTAGCCAAAGTGAGGCAGCTTGAGATACTATGTGATAACACTTAGCATGGTTAATAATAGCACATGGTAGGCATTTACTCAGTGTCTGCTAAGTGAATAAAAATATAGTAAGAGGATATATTTTTGAAATATTTACTGTAGTAGTCATAAAACTTTTTCCATTCTCTCCACTATTTCATTCCATCAGCACTTTACTGAACGTTTACTAAATTCAGACACTGAGCTATTTCTTAAGGCAGAGAGCAATACAAAGATAAAAAATACGTAATTACTACTCTCAGGGACTCAGAGGCTAGTGGGCCAGATAAACTTTTAAACAAACAAAACACACATTTTTGAGGACAACAATGAATACATGCTCAGTGGAATGCTGGCACACTCAAAGGCCATGTCATTAGCACCATCTCAAGTGCTGCATAATATGTTTTTGTTCCATTTAATGAGACAGTTAAAGCAGGCTGATTGTGTTATATGCCCAGAGAAACCTCTTGTTCCTGCTGGAGGTAAGTAAGATGCACTTTATAGCTATGTCTGCAAGCTGAATACATGGTGGGTGTAACTGAAAATGTTACTTTTGCTATTTCATCAAGCAAAACTGGGATTGATTGCTTATTATGGTAAACCATGAGTTCAGGACAGTGTCTAGTATATCTACGATGTTCAATCAATACTGGTGAGTAAATGAAAAAAATTCAGATATGCGTATGACACTGTCTTAGGTGTTCAAGAAGATGGAAAGGAACATGTCGTCTTCAGCAAGGGTGAAGCAAGTAGACAAACAATTGTAGCACAAAGCTAAGTATTACATAAAATAAATATAGTGTTTTTGTTTGAAAATGTGTATTACTGAATTCTCACAACTATATAATGAGGTAAACATCAATCTCATTTTTCAGAGGAAGAGCAAACCTCATCAGGAGGTGATCGTAACCAGAAGATGAAGTACTATAAGGAGTTTCTTTCCCTGCTACGCTTGTAATGAAGGAAAACCAAAGAGTTGGATAAAAGGTGAGATATAGGAAAGCTCCTAGAAAAGGGAGAGTAGTAGAGGTGGAACTTAGTTAATGCAAGAAATTTGTACAGCTGCCCAATCTTCAACCAGAACTCTGATGAGGCCAATTGTCCTGATCCTGTGTCCCAGGTGCCCAGAGTAGGTTGGTGGTGAGTGTTCACTAGTGTGTGTAATGAGGGTGGGGAAGGTGCTAGAGCTGGGGTGATGGGAATGCCTTTGCACATAATATCTAAACAAAAAACATAAATTGCAAATTATAAAAACATGGTATTGTCATTAGCTAACTTAATAGTTGCCCATTAAATTTCTTGCTGTTCTTACTTGTACTGCTTCTCAGCACAGAAACCAGTTGTGAAATCATGTAATTTGGGGATATATAATTGCTAGCTTTGCCCAAAGATTTAATTCTAGGACAGATGGATATGCATCTGGGGCACATATGGAGAAAAAACAACCTAATCATGAGGTAGGTGGTATAATGCAACTGCCTATAATAACAATAATGATAGTGATGAAGATGATCAAAACCAGCCAGCTCTATTTAATGCTTTCTATAAGCCAGATACTCTTCCAATCCTAAAGACTTTCTACATATTAGCCCATTTAATTATTATAACCCTATGAGAGATTACTATAATGGTTCCCATTTTACAAAATAGAAAATGAAGATTTAGGTGGCTTGCACAAGGCCACTCAGCTAGTTGTGTATCCACAAAGCCATTATTTGACTGCTCAAAGCAATGACAAGCAAAAAGAACAAAGCTGGAGGCATTATATTACCTGACTTCAAATTATACTACAAAGCTGTAATAATCAAAACAGCCTAGTACTGGTACAAACATCCAGAGTCTACACTCGACATTTTTATGCCCTGTTTTTCTTTCATCTCTGTGTAATATTTGATTTGTCTGTTAACCTGAAATCCAGGGAAACAGAAATAGAGAAGAAAGGTGGCATGCTACTTCATGTGTTTTCAAATTAGGACTATGGCCAGGAAACCTAAGAGACTCCAAGAAAGTCTTGTCTGAGGGTAGCTCTCTCCAGAGAGGCTTGCCTTTGCTCCTACTGGTGCCTCAGTGGTGTTACCAGCTGATGACCATTTTTTATATTCTTTCTTCAGTTTGGTGTTTCTCAAGTCATGTATGCATTTCAAATATGAACCCCTAAATGATGTAGACAAATCCTAGTTTATAAATTCTCAGGGAACAAATTTTCCCTACCTGGAGCAGAGGTCAAAATAATCAAGGTTTCTCTTAATTTCTATTTGCCAATTTTTCTATTTCACTTTTCATACTGGAATGTGTCCCTTTGAGACTTTTCACTTTACTGGGGTTCTCTCTTCAAATACCAAGCCTTACCTAAGCCCAGGACCGCACTTCCAGCCTCCTGGTGATGGGTAAAATCAAAGCCCCTTGCTAATAAAGATTGGTGACTCCTTTGATTTGAGAAGCCAAAGAAAATGTCAGACTAAGCTTAATAGTCGAAAATGTCCAATTATTTTTTATTTTTGACTTCTGTTAAAATCTTGTACTCTCCCAAAATCTACCCTTTGCATCTAAGTGCCTTTTGGTTATATTTCAGTCAGACTTTAGATGTTCTGTGGAAAGAGGATTTTAAGATTATCTAGTTTGCAACATTGCCAGCAATGTGAGTGACCTATTTTTTAAAACTGAATATAATTTTTACAGTGAAATATTCAGAGAAAAATTCCTTAACATAAGTGTAACCATATAATTTTGAAATTTGCAACTTACTACTATTTGTTATACCTAAGTTACAACTAAATGTTTTTCTCTTTGAGATGAATTGTTAAGTTCCAGATTCTCTTAAAATGTTTTAATATTTCTAGTAGTGTTGCTAAATAAAATACATTTATTTAAAATTGTGTCAGCTCTTCTATGATCAGGCTTAGGCAAATTTATTTTCGGAAATTATAGGAGCAATCTTTATAAACAGTTTTGAAAACATGTTGCTCAAATTGTCTTAGCTAACAATCACTAAACAATTTACGTGAGTTTTAACTTTTCATTGTAACAGGTAAAAGCTAACATAGTTAAAGATCAGACCATTTTAAAAGCTCTTGATTTTACAGAAATAGACAAGTGGAGAGTGTCAGAGACCAGCAAGTAGAGTGACAAAATATTTATCTAGCTTTGCTACCTTTCTCCACTCCACGTGTCAGAACGCTGAATAAAACAAGCTGCAACAGGGGGCAGCACTAACTCACGGATTTTTTTTGTTGTTGAACTATGCTCATTTTTAAATCCAAGAATTTGTCAGTACTAATCTATAAATTTTAATGAATAGAATCAGTGTATTTTAAAATCAGAAGAAGTATTAAGGACCATCTGCTCTACATTCTAATATATAAGGGAAAGAAGTGGGAGAGACCCAGGTTATATGTCCAAAATTACATTGAGAATTAATTAGTAATCAAACTAGAACTAAAAATACAGATTGTCATTTTTATCCCAGTTTCTGTGCCACCACAGCAAAAATTTAGTGTAGATTTAAAACATTTTAAAGCAACATATTTTGTAACATTGAGATTTTAAGCGTGAAAAAATTAAAACCCAGTTTAAAATTATTCTAATGTTCAAAATCTTTTTTAAGCACATTGGTGTCTACCCCAATAACCAGATTAATTGCAGAGATTTTCTAACTATAAAGGAGAAACAAAACACTATGTTATCAAAAAAACAAAGACATTTATATGTCCTGAGAAACAGACTTTTTTATTCCTCCATTCATACATTGATATACCTTTCTCTTCTTCTGTAGTCACCATGCACATCTGAGTTCAATTTCTTTATTAAAATATGTATTTTTGCATTTGTTGTTAAAAACTATTAATTGATAGACGTTCCTGCTTTGAAGAGATGTAATTGTTAGTTAACAAGAGAATGTCAGATGGGCGCAGACAGAATCAAGCCATTATTTCAGTAGGAAAAGGAAAATATGGCTGATGGGCATGGAATACAGTCTGCCCAGATGTGACCCAGCCTGCCTACTGACCTGACAGATGACAAGGAATAGACAATATGGCTGGGGATGTGGGGACATTTTTTTCAAAAGTCTGGCAAATCAGATGACAGCTACAAACATTTTTCCTGGCCACGCTAAGGGTCTATTTTATCCCTTTGAATTACTTAGATTTTATTATTTTTTCTAATAGTTGTAACATTTCTATTTGTTTGTTGTGTTTGTGTATCTCTCTTAATTCTACATGGCTTTATGCATTCTATATGACTTCATGCATTTCTATTTACAAAAAAGACATTTGTTTGAGATATGACCAGAGGGCCTGCCTGGACATAGAAATCAGGGAGATATTATATTGTTTACTTCACTGATAGCTTTGTAACTTTCAAAAGGAAACTATGTATATGTTGCTGGTGTTTTGAGAGATTACTTTGTCAGTGAAATCTATTGAAAAATAGCAAAGGAAAGCAGAAATCATTTTTATCCTGATAAGGCTGTTTTAAAGATATGCCATATATTCTGGCATCAATAGGTTTGTAGAATGATATATAATCAGTTACCCTCCTTGTCTCAGGCAGAGATGTAAAAACAGTTCCTGGTAGAGGCTTGTCTCTCTAATACTACCCCATGGAGGAGGAAGGACTGTGTGTGCCCTTTAGACAGCCTGCCTCCCTGAAGAGAGACAAAAAGAAGGGATTGAACTACTCATGCTCAGTTTTTTTCTTACAGAAGGCGGAGAATGGTCAGGAGTATTCTGTAATGCCATTATCTCACATGGAAATGTCAGGAGTGGGGAATGATTGCAGAAGGGGTATGCTTGTCCGTTGAAGTCTTCTCTAATATTATAGCTTCTGGTTTCATTGATTCACATTGAAGCCTGGAATAAACACACTATTTCATTTCATCTAGGTGTGGAAACATGGCAACGTTCTGGCCCATTAAAAGTGAGGTGTGGCAACTTCTTTAAAAGATAAATGGTATATATCTTTTGCTGCTATTTATTCTTTCCTGCTTCTTGTGGACTTCAGTGTCAATGTGAAGTCTGGCAGCAGAACACCGTTCTTGGACCACGAGCTGATCTTGGGAATGTACACTGAATAATAGAACAATAAGATAGAAGAAACTTGGGTTGCTGAGATTTCTTAGAGAAAATGATGCCATTGCAGAGCTGCCATATGATTCCTAGACTGTTTACACTTAAGAAATAAAATGTTTAAATAAAATATTTTTGGGGAGGTCTCTTATCTGCATCTAAACCCAGTAATAAAATACTTATCGGCCGGGCGTGGTGGCTCACGCCTGTAATCCCAGCACTTTGGGAGGCCGAGGCTGGTGGATCACGAGGTCAAGAGATCGAGACCATCCTGGTCAACATGGTGAAACCCCGTCTCTACTAAAAATACAAAAAATTAGCTGGGCATGGTGGCGCGTGCCTGTAATCCAAGCTACTCGGGAGGCTGAGGCAGGAGAATTGCCTGAACCCAGGAGGCGGAGGTTGTGGTGAGCCAAGATGACGCCATTGCACTCCAGCCTGGGTAACAAGAGCGAAACTCTGTCTCAAAAAAACAAAAAAAAACTTATCTCCCAACATATAAGCTTTTAAAATATGTAAGCCCTAACCCAGATGTTAATTTAAAAAAATATGTCTAAGAGTAGATAAATTTAACCTAATTGATTGCTACAGTTTTTCTTTGTAGGACACATTCTTTTCAGAGTATAAGCATATAATTTTCCATATTTTGGTAAATGATTAAAAATTTTCTAATACGTTAAAAATAGATCAAGGTTTTAATAGTAGATACCTCAAGAAAGTAGATTTTGGGAATTAATATTTATTTTAGATTTTTCTGCATTGCATGAATATATAAGAAAAATATTAAGTTCATAATTTAAAAAATTACAATAAACTTTTTGAGATTTATTCAGAAATGATATTCCTGTAGCTGGAAATGCCCTGGGATGCCATTTTTAGGCTATAATTTAGGACTCTGGTGAAGAAACATTAAAATTTACTGAAAACTTTTTTTTTTTTTTTGAGACAGAGTCTCTGTTGCCTGGCGCCAGGGTAGAGTGCAGTGGCGGGATCTTGGCTCACTGCAACCTCTGCCCGAGGTTCAAGCAATTCCCCTGCCTCAGCCTCCCAAGTAGCTGGGACTGCAGGCACGCACCACCACGCCCAGCTAATTTTTGTATTTTAGTAGAGATGGAGTTTCACTATGTTGGCCAGGAGGGTCTCAGTCTCTTGACCTTGTGATCCGCCCGTCTCAGCCTCCCAAAGTGCTGGGATTACAGGCATGGAATCCCAGCTAGATATGCTGGGATTACTGGGCCTGACTTGAAAACATTTTAGTAATAGCAATACAAGGGTCTTGCCTGTAGACATTGATTTAATTGTTATTGAGGGAATCTAGGCATAATATACTTAAAAATTCCCTGGATGTTTGTTATGTATAAGGCAATTTAATAAGTACTGGACATCAGTCACCAACTCCTCACTGTTGTATATGAGTCACCTGGAATACTTTGAAAAATCCCACAGTCTGGCAGAATTCCAGAGCCACTGTACTGGCATCTGGAGTTCTCCAGGTGATTCTAATGTCGAGACAAGTATGGGAACAGCTGTTGCTGCCTGAAAGCCTCCAGGAAACTTTCCCTCAATTTGCATGTGAGCCAATAAAACAACTGTCTTGCTTTTATCTGTGTTTTTAGCCAAGTTGCTAGATGAAATACAGGTTCTATTAAATGTGAATTTCAGACGTCAATTTTTAGTAAAAGAATGTCACATGCAATATTTGAGACACAAAAAATTCATTCATTGCTTATCTGAATGTCCTTGAATGCAATCAGATTTAATTGCAGGGGGCACTTCTTGTGTTTCCCAGTATTTTTATTTGTCGAATCTGGCAACCCTACAAACAAAACACAGCAGTACTCTAAAAATCACTAAAGAGCAATGTACATTTTCTCTGTATATAAAGGATTGTTAAGGAGACTGAACACTGAGGAGAAAACCAAGACGAATCACCTTGCTAATGCGCAGTAATACCTGCTAGAAGTCTTCATTCATCTCCCTTCCTGAATAGTCCTAAGCTTTATAACAACTGGCTTAGTTTCTTGCTGTATTCCCTCACTCATAACTCAGTAAGTAAGCAACTCCCAAATCCACTCCTAGTACTTCCATCCCCATCCTTACACCTTCCTCCTTTTGAACAATTCAACCTATTACAGTTTTTACTAATTTTTTTTTCCTGAACCACACGAAAAGGTTGTAAATCAAGAAAATGCACATATAGGCTAGCTGATGTGTGCACAGAACTATCGGGACCCCTTTCCATGTATTATCCCACTTTTATTGATGTGGAAATGTAAGCTTTAGAGGATAGGGAAATTGCAGTAAATTTATGTCCTGAATGCTGTTTTCAGTGCCATTTTCAAATATAAACCACAGAGTCTTTCCATAATGGTCTAGAGAGATAAAGGACTATTATCTCTGCCAACTTTTACACTTCATTTTCTGGAATTTTTCATCAACCACACAAATTGTGATAATAGATAAATATAAAATAGGAGTACCACAAACACTTAAACTGTAAGTGTCTAATACTCATTTGGGGGTAGGAAAGCATGTATGGGAAGTTTTGGGTGTATTCTATAGAAACATTGTGATGTATTAGTTAGAGTGTACTAAATTTTGTGGGGCCCAGACATTGGCTTAAGTCCAGCAACCAGCCTTACTAAGTGACCTTAGGTCAGACACAAAACTCTGTGCTCCTTCACTTCTGCATCTGTAAAATTAAAGCCATAGTGCCTAAATTGTTTTGATAACAGTGTGATTGTGAGAACTAAAATGAGATCATATATGTGGATGAGGGTGGCCCTTGCAAACATTAACATTTTTACTAGGTAAAACAAGGAAGTATAAGAACTGGTCTAGTTTTGCTCTATACAGGGTAACTTAGGCTCTTGGATAGTGTTTTATAAGCTGTCAAGGCAAATTGACCCAGAAATATCCTCAAGGGATGAAGGAAATGTTGGTTAGCAGGCCACATGTAAGCAATGATTTTTTTTTTTTTTTAAGTAAAAAGAAAAGATGAAAATGCCAAGCCACAGGATTAGCCCTCTTCGAGGTTCCTGGCATCCTAACTGGGGATCATGGATATGTTAAATAATCGTGTTCTTTTCCCTTGATTAGATGGAACCATTAAGTCATCTGAAACTAAAACTGAGTCACAGACAAACTTAGGGGAAGATACCCAAAGTCTGAGTGGTAAAGTAAATGAAACGGGAAAAAATGTGCATGAATACCATGTTTCCATGTCTCTGTTAGCAAGAGCTCCCCTAGTGAACCATGACCCATTTCTAATTTTAGAGTTTGGGTGACTGCCTTACCTTGAGCCCCTTTAAGTTCGAATGTGATCATTTTGACAAACTGTAGACTCTATTTGCCATTCAAGTTTTTGTGAAGAATTTTTTTAAAAAAGCAAACATCATATTTAACCCTCCCAGAAAGAAAAGAAAAGCAATGTGAGTAGCCAAGTTTTCCGGCTACGGATAACATTTGTTCAGTTTTTAGATACACTAAATTGTTTGCAAACCCAGCTTCCCTAGTGTGTGTGTGTATGTGTGTGTGTTTAACAAAATATTTATTCTTTGTCAGGACTTAGTTGTGGTGAGAGCCTGGTGAGCATAATCTCTTAAGGTATCTAATATTAACACAGTTTTGGAAATCATCTTTTAAAAATGACTCCCTATTCCACAAACTATGAAACTGAATTTTTCTCATAAACTCTATGCTTCGGTTGAAACACTCACCATATTCACTCATTTATGTTAAACCCATCTTTACCAAATTAAGTTACTCTTTTCTGAAAACCACCAGTGGCTTTTCATTTACTCACAAAGCTTTGTTTCCCAGAAGGGTCTTAGAGCATTCTTATGTCTTAAGGTAGCTTACTCCTTTTCTTCATGTCACCACCTCAGGAAAACATGCCCAGACCCATCCAGTCCTTCACATCATGCTCTCTTAGCACTTAACACCATCGGAAATATAATTTGTTGTACTTTTAGTTCTTTAACGAATCTCCACACTGTTTTCCATAGTAGCTGTACTAGTTTACATTTCCACCAGCAGTGAAGTGTTCCCTGTTCACTGCATCCATATTGATATCTACTTAAAAAAATTTTTTTTATTATGGCCATTCTTATAGGAGTAGGTGGTATCACATTGTGGTTTTGATTGGCATTTCCCAGATCATTATTGATTTTTTTCATATGTTTGTTGGCCATTTGTATATTTTCTTTTGAGAATTGTCTATTCATGTCCTTAGCCCACTTTTTGATGGGACTGGTTTTTTTTCTTACTAATTTGTTTGATCCAGCAATCCCACTACTGAGTACCCAGAGGAAAATAAGTCATTATTCAAAAAAGATACTTGCACACACACGTTTATAGTAGCAAAATTCACAGTTGCAAAATAGTGGAACCAACCCAAACACCCGTAAATCAATGAATGGATAAAGAAACTGTGGTATATATACATGATGGAATACTATATACCATAAAAAGGAATGAATTAACAGCATCTGCAGTGACCTGGATGAGATTGGAAACTAGTATTCTAAGTGATGTAACTCAGGAATGGAAAGCCAAATATCATATATTCTCACTGATCCGTGGGAGCTAAGCTATAAGGACATAAAGGTATAAGAATGATACAATGGACTTTGGGGACTTGGGGGAAAAGGTGGGGGGGGCAGGGGATAACAGGCTACAAATATGGTACAGCATATACTGTTCGGGTGATGGGTGCACCAAGATCTCACAAATCACCACTAAGAGCTTATGTGACCAAATACCACCTGTACCTCAATAACTTATATATAAAAAAAGAAATATAATTTGTTTTCTTGTTTATAAGTTCTGAAAAGCTGGAGATATTGTATGTTATGTTTACCTTATATCCTCACTGCGTATAACAGTAACTAACAAGAAGTAGGGACTAAATAAATATTGAATAAATGCCATTGAGTATCAGCAAAATAATATGATGGTCTCTATAAAGATGACTTCAGATGATACGTTTAAAAGAGTGTGGATATAGGGCCTGTCAGGGTGTGGGGGGCTAAGGGAGGGATAGCATTAGGAGAAATGCCTAATGTAGTTGGTGGGTTGATGGATGCAGCAAACCACCGTGGCATGTGTATACCTATGTAACAAACCTGCACATTCTGCACATGTATCCCAGAACTTAAGGTATAATAATAATTAAAAAGTTAAGAAAAAAAAGAGCGTGGGTAAGAATAGCATCATTAAAGTTAGAACTATTGTGTTCCCAGTCATGATAGCTACTTTAAAGGAGACAGCAGTTATTTGAAAATATCCATTGGCCATAAGAAAAAAAGAAAGACATTTTTGTTTAAAAATGCAACATATTCTATATTCAGCTTGACTCCCTCTTCTTATGCTCTTCTAAGCCTTTCAGCAAGCTGCATTTAACTCCTGGCTAAAGTTTTGTCCTCTTATAAAAATCTGGGAATAATTTTTCTCCTCACCAGATTGTTCTGTAGTTCCCGCTTTCAGAAGGTGAAGTGAGGGATGAAGTAAGTGTCTCCGAAGTCTGCACAGCAAGCTTGGGAGCTGTTAATTGGCCTCTTTTCTAGCTCATAAAAAGTGGTTGCTGGTAAATGAAGGTACCAGTTGAGGGAACGGGAGTCAATTATATTGTTTTTAGGCATTTGTTACAAGGAGAAAACCAGGTAAGACCTTAGGTGGCTAAATGTGTAACACGGAGCCTTCTCAATATTTCTGGAAGGGATGAGCAACGGTTGCAGTAGCAGTTCTGTTTTTGTGTGTTTGTAATCTTTGCTGCTGCTGTAGCTGCTGCACCAGGAATGGTGCATGGTGCAAGGCAGAGTCTGCTTTATAGTGCAGAAGAAACTTGGTTATTTAATATATTAGAGGCTTTGGCCCTTAGGTTTATGGACAGGAGTAATTAATTACTTTGTTCCTTTCTTGATTGGAAAGTCCTTTTCATATTGGCAAATACTTAAAAAACAATAGCAACAAAGACTTAGTGGCAAGTTGTTGGCAATGGACAGAGAAACTTAGGTACACAGGAACTCTGTCAGGACTAACTTAACTGATTTAGCAGGAGTGAACAGAACTGAAATGTAAATCTCTTCAGAGTGGGATGCTAATGAGAAGTAAGCCAATTCTTGATTTGAAAGATAGGACATAAAATTTATTACATGGTATGATTGCAGTGTTGCTTCACATGCATGTTCCTTGTTTATATACACATACGTGCAGCATAAATCCTAAATATACATATGTGCAGACACAACACTAAAAGAAACACATCAGAATGTAAAAACTCCCCCGATGCTTCTGGGGAGTTGGATTATGAGTGATTTTGTTTTCTTTATTCTCTACTCTCCAATTTCCTTGCCAAGCTTCCACATTCAGTCTCTTCATATCCAGCTCTACTACCCAAGAAACTCTGATGCTTTTCCAGCCTCAGCCAGCCAAGTCACGAAACATCCAAGTTAACCTCTTACTCCCTGGACTCGGAAACCTTTTGTTGGTTCTGTTTGTTCTCCAGCCCTGGGTCCAAGCTCAGAAGATTAAATTGTTCTTTACGTTGAACTCCAATTAATAGTTTTCTTGTCTGGAACTCAGGCAGTTTTAAACCATGGCCAAAAATTATTTGACACTACTCCTAGTGAGAGATGGGGTCTTTGTTCCCTCCCCTTGAATATAGCTAATCTTGTGATTGTGACTGTTTCAACCAGGTGAGTGTGATGGAAACGACAGTGTGGCTTATGAAGCTAAGACATGAATGACAGTGCAGTTTCAAGCTTGTTTCTGGAATACTCACTGTTGGAGCTCTAAGCCACCATGTAAAGCTTGAACACCTTAAAGCTGTCTACTGTGAATTAGCTCAGGCTCCCTGGAGAGACTATGCATAGGCACTGAGCCCCACAGTGAGTGAATGAGCCTTCAGATGATTCCAGCTCTTTCAGTTTTCTCTCAGCCTTTGAATCTTCCTGGCTGATGCCACAGACAAGGAGAAGCAGAGTGAAGCTGTTTTTACTGTGTATTTTCTGAATTCCTGAGGCCAGAATCTGTGAGCTTAATAAAATGGTGGTTGTAAGTGGCACTGCAAGATTTTGGGTGATTTGTTACACAGCAATAGTAACCAAAACAGTAAATGTGAATCCAACTTGAGCCAGACTTCTTAAAAATGACTGAAGTCAGCTATTTTATTCTATGGCCCTGGAGCTAAATGCAACTATTCTCTCAGGCTAACACCATGCTCTTCCCAAATGTTCCATTAAGTCAAGCAGCCTGAAGGAGAAACTGCTTCCTATAACAGATATGCTCAAGGAGACCCTGTATATAGTTAGAGATTTCTCTTGGTAAGTCATATCCTTCCCTTAATAAGTCATATCCTTATATGTGAAACTTCTGGATCCTGGGATTAAAGAACTCAATTTGCTTTGCTTTCCACTTTCTAGAAATTTTCTCACTTCTTAAAAAGCATAAATGAGCTTGTCTCCTGGTCCAATTTGGATTTAGCTGAAGACTCTAACCTGAATGTTTTCTTCATCAGGACCTAAGGACACATATACCCTGAATGTGAGATCCCGGAAGAAAGGACAAAGTAAAGGTAGAGAACACGAATATAAACTGAAAGCGCAGGAGAAAAATAAGAACTAAAAGGAAATGTTAAAAAAAATATATATCATTCTTGTTCATTTACTGTGTGCCATTATGTTACATGTATGATGTCATCTCAACATAACAGTTCTAATGATGTAGGTATTTTATTATACCCATGATAAATGGAGGCCTGTATCTTTCTTAAGGTGGGCAGAGCTTATAGTTGTACATATTAGTCTTACACCAGATCCTGCTCTCTTAATCTTTAGGCCCTACAGTCTGGAAATAATCAAAATTAATTTTATACTAATATTAAAGTGTTATTTGCCTTTTTTCACTCTCATCTCATGAGTATGTGGGGGAATTTTCCAATGTACATTTGGAAGCTGTATATAACAGAGTCAACATATTGGAAACTTTCAATGCACAAAGTTACAAAATCATGTGAAAGATCCATTCAAAGTGCAATATACATGAACGGATTTTAATGCAACAGAGTACCAAATACAGATTTCACATCACAAGCAACCCTTCCAAAATTGTCACTTTTCAAATTTTGGTATGTCTTCAAAGACTATCCACAATGATCTGAAAAGGCTGTTGAGATAATCCTGTCTAGTTTGTTGTCGTTGTTACATATTTGTATGAGGCTAGGTTTCTTCATATACTTCAAAAGCCCCACGAGGAATTAAACACAGAAGATATGAGTAGAGCAGTGTCCTGTTAACCCAAATATTAAAGAAATTTGCCATTCTTTTTACTAAATGTTTTGTGATAAAAATATAGTTATTTTGGATATGTTATTGATGTTACCATGATAGCATTGTTATTTTAAAGTGAATAAATATTATTTAAATATCTGTTTTAAGTTTGAATACAGTAAATATCAATGACTATAACCCTCACAAACAAAAGATCTTTGGGACCTTTAATAATTTTTAGGGATGGAAAGTATTGCTGAGACCAAAATGTTTGAGAATCTCTAGCCTAGAAATTTGGTAGATAAATAGGTAGAGCCAAGTAAATGGGCTTTTTGCTTTCATTATAATAGAGTCTGCATTGTATTTAAGCGCTTTTAAGTGTAAAGAGAGAGAGATGAGTGTGTAGGAGAAAGGGCCATGGATAAGGTGCAGTGTGTGAGAAGGTTACAAGTGAGTGGATTCAGAGCAAAGTTGGAGAGACTTTCCTGGGAGAGTCAGCGACCACAACAAATGCAAATCCATCTATGGCTGGAGCAATGGAAGCAGGAAGGTGAGTTAGTTAAAACCTGTTTAATAATGGCTTCTGCTTTTTCTGTTAAGTAAAAGATAAGAATTATTTTAAGATTGAGACTGGGTTGGATGTTGAGGAAAGAGGTAAATAGTTATACAAGGCCTTAAATGAACAGAGAAAGCTTCCCAGAATCAGATAGCCCTATGTTGGCAAATGATCAAAAATGAATTCTTTCATTCCTGAAACATGCCATGGAAAAACTTAATGGTTTTTTTGTTGTTATTGAATATTGTTCATTCAAATTGCACTTAGCTCATGGAAAGAGCAAAAAAATGAGGAAAACGTTGTCTTATTAAAAAGGTAATAATAAAAACTTGGAGTTAGGCATCTTAGGTAAATCTCATTAAATTGAACAGCAAATTAAATAGTTTTTCAAATTTTATTTTGGGAAAGGTCGTTATGTTCTTTATGTTCACTATCAATAAAAACAATATGACAATTTCTAATGTAGTATATGGCTTACAAGTACCGGGCAAGAGTTATTTCATTTGTAAGGTTGGAAACTGACACTTGATTAAAAATATTGCCTTCAAACTAACTTCCAAAGTTCTCTAAAACAGAATCACATTGATGTAACTTTAAAAATAAATCTTGAGTTTTACCCCGTTTCTGATTCAACCAAAGAAGACATAACCCTCTCAAGCAATTCTATGAAAATTATCAAACAATGCTATATCAACTTATTTCATAATTCAGGTTAATCAAACATGTTTTCCTGGGTGCGCACAATGAGGCAGGTAGAAAGCCTCAGTGTGGCTCTGGACCTGCTATCTTCAGGAGCCCAGGAAGT